AAGTATAAGTTTTATTTAATATTATTATTAAAGTGAAATAAAATCGAGGTATACATTATTGTCTCATAGCATGGGTAGTTTTAGTAATAGAAAAATATAGAAGAACTTGAATCTCACAACTACAACCACTAATATAATGTTTCACCTTGAAATTTGAGGTCTATCATGTAACAATTTATGTGTATGTGATGTTAAACGGAAGTGGCATGACAAAGTCAGAATTTGGTGCAACATTTTGCAAATTTTTAGTATTTTTTGAAAATTTCTTCATTAAGTTCAGACCAAATACTGTACAATACTTTATTTTTGCTTGGAATTAATTTTCACTAGTTTCGCTGAAGTAATGATTCAGTGAAAATAAAATCCAGCGAATATACCATTTTTACTATATTTTACATTCAACTCGTCAAAAATCAGAGAAAATAAATTACATATAAGACACGCAAAAAGTCTTTCCAGCGAAAATTAATTCAATCTAAAATAAAGTATTTAACAGTAGACATAATTTTATATTGGCTACAGGTGTTGATCAGAATATATGAATCAAAATGTAAACACATGTGACAAAAGTTGGCAGTAACACTTAAACATTTAATAATATATTCGATATTAACATTAATTGCGTTTTAAGAAATGAGAGCAGTATATTTTGTATAAATTATAAATTTGAACTTTTAATTATTAAGTATGATCCATTTATGAAGACAGGTTTGACATGACAAATTATTTGGAAAAGTAGGCAACAAATAAACCATTATAGATAAGATTACAAGGCTAATTAGCTTATAAATTTTTAATGTCATAGAATACAAATTGCATATCTACTGACGAGGAAACCTGAACAAAACACCATTCCAGGAATTAGTTTACTAATTTTTACTCCTTATTTCACTGTAGAGGGCGCTATACTCAAATCATGCTTGGGTAAGTGGATTTTAGGGTTTGAACCAAAGACACTTGTGTCTTTGTTTGAACCAAGCATATGTTACTGCACATATATGCAATATGTTATGAACCCCCATTTGTATATAATGAAAACTATTATTACCATAGAAACTCAATTTTTTTAAATGTTTTAGGATTCAGGTAAATCACAATATGTATCCTCCGGGGCGGACATCCAGGCATTTTCACTGCTTGGCAAACCCTCGCGGTGAAAACAAAGACCAAAACACGCAGAAAACAGTATTTTGGGATGGTTGTTGAGACTCCCCTGAATAGTGTAACAAGATTAGCCCTACTTGTTTAACATATATAAATTTAGTTGTTCAGGATTACTTCAAAGTTGAGTTTGTGTTGTTTTCTCGAATTTTCACCGGCTCGACCAACGTTCCACAGCAGCGCACACAGAGCCTATAGAAATGCATGTACAGTGGTGCACGTCTTAGCAACGTGGAACGTCTTGTGACATAGCTCCGCCCCCGAAGATATGACATTTTTATCCCATGAGACCAAGCAAAATTTTGAGAGATGAATAAATAATCTTGCCTTAGAATCTAATGTGAAAATGACAATTTTGACCATTTACCAAGACATCTTGTGTATCAAACAATTGTGACCTCAACTTTTTTTTTTCAATTTTGGTATCAAAATTACAAAATGTAAATGGTAAGTACTTAGAATGATGAAAGTATGATGAAACATGACCTATGATTCTGAATTTTGGTTTGATACTCATTAAAAAGACTAGATAGTGGAGTTACAGGCATCATGCAGCTATGAGAACATGTCATGACTGTGCAGGGAATCGCAGACTTCCATTCACCCACAAGCTGTTACCAAATTAATGTTGGTTTTTCAACCTATAATGTGCCAACTATGTATTAAATGGATCATTAATGTCTCTCCAGGATTTATTAAAAATTGCACAAATTGTTATCAGTTTCACGCTTTACTTAATATGATTTTTAAAAGGAACTGAAAGTATGATTTAATGTACATGAATATACATTCATATACGGTAATGATCATATAAATTGTTAATTTTAAAAATTGAAGTAATTATGTACATGTACTCATTAGTATATAACTTGAATTCATTTTCACTGACAGCAGAAATTGTTCGTTGTTCTGTGAATGAAAAGTTTTATTTAAATGACGAACAAGGCCAAAGCCCTAAAAAAAACAGATTTTGTTTCCCATCCAGGGAAAATTAAAAAATGAAGCTGATTTATAATCTTTCTTTTATGCTATTCCTCCACAAGATCTGTTGAATATTACCACTAAAGAAGTAACATGTCTATCTCATTTGATTTTATTTAGAACAACAAAAACATCATTTGTAAAACAAAAACATGTACGCAATTTCATTCTACAACACTGCAAAAAAAATACATGAGGTGAAGGTTTCTAAATGATGTAAATGATGAAGAGAAACAAAACATTTATTTACCGGTACTTGAAAACTAGCTATCAAATACATATATTGATATAATTTTTCTTCACCAAGTCCGGACTGTGTATAGTCAACTCAATCAGGGTAAAATTAAATTAACATGTACTTTTCTCAAAAAATTTAAGTCTATTATCCATATTTGTGGAGCTTAACGGGTACTCAAGAGAATAATATTTTGTGAAAATTACTTTGAATCCCTAATTATACTCCAATATACTAAACAGAATTCCCCCAACTGGTTCAAGCTGACATACACAGTTTAAAAACATTTGCACAAGAAAGACAGACATACTTTGATTTTACACTCACCTCATTCAGTTCCAAGTTCCATGTGTTCAAAGTCGCTGGTCTCTGATTATATTCTGTGTCAAGTGGCAGTGGTAACACAATCTCTGTGGTAGGAACTATTAAGGTAGTAATAGTGTTCTGTGAATCATAGCAGTCTCCGTATGGACCATGGTTTCTATATTTTACTCCATCGTAAAAATTTGTTGAGCTTCCAAGGGTTTCCTGCTGACCATTATCAATTACATAATTGGGACAATTTTCCTTGAATTCAACATAATTCATCGAAATATCACACCGCCATGGTGACACATTGTTAGTAAAGCCATGTAACTGTTCCTTTTGTTCCCAAGGACAGTGATAATAATCAACCTTGTTTTGTTCTTTCTTTGTAAACTCTGTCATGAGGTTTGGATTAATTGAATGGGTCAAGTGTGAAGTGGTATTGTCTTGACTAGACTGTCCTTTGTTTTGAGAGAGGCCTCTCTGAACTGACACTAAACTGGAACGTTGTCTCTGAGGTTCAATGTCTTGTTTCTTCATCTGATTAATCCTGATGTGCCGTGCCCACACACCACTATCCTGAGTACCACCACGACATGAATTAAATCTTAACTGCTTTGTGTTCTCATTCACTCTACTTTTCATTTGTCTTGAAGGATCCATCACAACAACCTGTTGATTGCAAGTCACTTTCTGAGTGATATCCTTTAGCGGAGGTGGATTTTCCTGTTCTGGTATCACTGCAGCAACATTATATTGGTCTGTATGTAAACAATGTTTGCGTGTACACTGATCATATGGATTCCCAGTGTGGCAGGACATCCTACGGTTCCACTTATTCCAAGCTGTTCTGGATTCCATGCTGGTCTCTGTGTGAGTGATAACTCAGCTGTGGTCTAAAGTATCACCTGCAATATATTAGATAAACATGTATATACAAACAGTGCTCGAAATTAACAGTATATTATCTGAGCCAAATGAAATTTATTTACAATTTTCAACATGGCCTCATTGTACTGAACCTGCTGACTACATATCTACAAATATACCAGCTCTAAAAACTAATAGCCAAGCAGACCTTGAAAACAAGTTTGTTACTGTCATCATGAGAATACTGTAGAATACTTTATTTTAGCTGGAATTCATTGAAGACTGTTAGGGTGTTTTTGTATGGAATTTATTTTCACTGATTTTTGACAAGTTGAATGTAAAATATAGGAAACAAGGTATATTCATTGGATTTTACTTTCACTGATTCATTCCTTCAGTGAAAATTAATTCCAAGCAAGAATAAAGTATTTTACAGTATTCTGCTGTGTAATGTTGTAATTTACGTTGCTATTTTGCTAACAACATTACTATACATCAAGCAGTTGCTTCTCAATTAATTAATCAAGATTAAACAAAATACTGTTAACAATGTTTCATTATCCAAGACTAAACAAATCACTCAGAGTAAATCACTAGGTAGTAGACTTGACTTCTTTAACTGCAGAACAATAGACATTGAGTAAAAGCAAACAAAAATTGCCGGAAACAGTAATTGATAAATATCATCAGGGAAATTATCATTTTTAATTCTTGTTTTGTCTTTAGTTGTTTGCATCTTATCTTTTACAGCAAGTCTCAGAAGTATTGGGGCAGCCAATTTGCAAACTCGCTAGCGAATTGGCTAACTGCTTTGGTTTTGACTAAAACGGTTGGCTTTCGAATCTCGCTGGCGCCGGCTTGTGATGGCGTCCACTCTTGGCGAGTCTATATTGCATTAGGAGACATAGAATGTTGTTATGCAGCCTGGTACATGTCTGGATTCCCCTGAATGATATGAACTCGAAACTGGCCACAATCAGCTGGCATACAAGTGATGATATGATAAATACGATTAATCCACCGATATTTATTATATGAGGGTAACCATCTTGAACACTGCTTGAAAATGAATAGACAAGTTGAGAAACAGTTTCCTACAAATTAGGGAGAAAATAACAAATTTTCACACTCAAACGATCCGTTAGGGTAACATTAAGCCAACCGCTGGAAAAATCAACCTCATTCTTCGTTTTTGTGGGAGCACGAAAGGCATAGAACACTTTCCCTGGTATATTTGAAAGCGAAATCGCCATCCAACTGTGAGACCGTCGCTGACTAGATCCTGAAGTATGAGGATCGTCCCCTACTGTTACATGGATTCGCCTTAAGTGGGCGTGACCGCAAGACGATGCCAGCGAGATTCGAAAGCCAACCGGTTAGTCAAAACCAAAGCAGTTAGCAAATTCGCTAGCGAGTTTGCAAATTGGCTGCCCCAATACTTCTGAGACTTGCTGTAATATTTGGGCAGAAGTTAATAAACACATATATACATACGTTACTACACATATATTTAGTTTGTATGCAAACGTAAACTTCGATGGGATAGCTTTTTCAGTGAGGGGTTAATAATTTAGCTTGCATGTCTGGGTTGGGTGTTTGTGAAAAAATCCACATAATTTGCAAAATATAATCATAAATGACTCAACAAGCTGGTTCCATCTTACTTCTCAGGACTGATGGATGATCACTGACAAGAGGCCAACCTACAAGACTCAGGACTATAGTACACGTACCTAACAAGTCTTTTAAAATTCATAA